TGCTAAAACCACTTAACTTCATTCTGACATCATTCTAACATTCATTAATTTTACAATATTTCTGTAAATAGTCTTTAAATTTCTTCCAATCTTCTTCCACCGACTCTTCTCCCTGGTCTCGGATTCTGCCAGTCATTTCCGCCAGTTCCATGTAGTCCATCACCTTCACCTGCCATTCTTCCAGAGTGGGTAGATCTTGTGTCTTCCAATACTTTGCAATAAAAATACCTTTACATCTTTCTTGGGCAAGTCAAGACCTGTTATTCCGAGGAAAAAGGACTCTGGTTGTTTTGCCCCCTTCCTCTTAGGCTCTAGGTGCTGAATAGAGCACCCTGAGAATCTCAGCACTCTTTATTTTGTTTTTAAAAGAGAATGTTTCGGGCCTTAAGGTTCAATAGGTAGATAAATTTGAAAGCAGACAGGAATAATCCTGGGTGTGTGCACACACTGGATTATAGTTGCATTTTCCTCTACGGTTTGCTAGAAATTCTGGGCTGTCCATTACATGTGTGGATGACAAAGGGGTTGAGGTTTTTTTTAATCCTCCGGCTTGTCAAGAACTCATCCCATCCTGAAAAAAAGAGAATGGCAGGAGAGAGAAGTTTAGCACAGTCCTTTTCCTCAGGTGCTCTATCTCTACATTGTTTCGGGTTTTCTGATTCAAGTATGACACACAAACATCCACGCAGGGGTGTCGTTGCCCAGGGTCACAGTGGTGTGTGTGTGTGTGTGTCATAGACCCATTAATTTTTGTTTGTTTGTTTGTTTTTTTATATGATATTTATTAAGGTTTCAATAAAAGATTAAACAGAAAAACATAAACGAAAAATACACAATTCAAAAGAACACAGTACATAGTCCAAAAAGAAAAAAGAAAAAACAGAACAAAGAAAAAATAAAATACAAGACAGAAAGAACAATTAAAAACAATATCACCTTTTCGTTTCCATCTTTAAATTTACTTATTTTCTGGACCTCCTCATACCTCCCTCCTTTGCATTCCAGTTCAAATTGTTTGTCCAGCAATTTCTTTCCCTCTTTTTTAATCCCAATCTTTAATCTTAATATCATATAACATTAAAATTTACCTCTTAAAAGCCAAATTTCCATTTCCTTAAACTTCTTTAATCCTAATCCTTAATCTTAATTTATCTATAACTTTAAATCTTGTACAGCTGGAAACCACTCATTTTCAATCATAGACCCATTAATTTTTGGGAGGTGGGTTCCAGCAGATTATCTATGTCAGCATCCTACAAATCCAACTCCCTCTAAGTTACCGTATTTTTCACTCTATAGGACGCACCGGACCACAAGACGCACCTAGTTTTTAGAGGGGGAAATCAAGGGAAAAAATCTCCCAGAGCTTCTCGGGGCTGCGGGGGAAGCCAGGGTCCCCCCCTCCCCAGCCCCAAAGAGCAAAGAAGCCAAGACAGCCAGCGGAATCCATCCCACTGGCTGTCTTGGCTTCTGCCATAGCCACACAACCTCTCCAGCCGGGAGCTAAACCTCTCCAGCGTGGCTAAAGAAGCCAAGACTGCGAGCGGGATGGATCACGCTTGCTGCCTTGGCTTCTTTAGCCACGCTGGAGAGGCTGCGCACTGGCTGGAGAGGCTGCGCGCGGCTATGGCAATTCCCCCACCTCCCGCAAAAGCCCATAGGAGCGTGTGGCTCCTGCAGGCTTTTCTACGAGGAGGGAGAAGGGACTAACTGGCCGCATCAGTCCCTTCTCCCTCCTGGGGAAAAGCCCGCAAGAGCTGCGTGAAGCTTGTGTGCGGCTCTTGGGGGCTTTTCCTGCCTGCCTCCCCCCTGCATTCGCTCCATAGGACACACAGACTTTCCCCCTTAGTTTTTAAGAGGGGAAAAGTGCGTCCTATGGAGCGAAAAATATGGTACATTTTGCACCAGTTCATGCCTTGCTGCTCCAGATTTCTGGGGTTAATTGCCCTCTAAGTAGCTAAAGAAGGAGCCTAATAGATCATCAGTTTCCTCACCTACCTTAGATTTGTAGTTTTGCAAGAGAACATCCATAGCTAAGGGTACTGGCTCTCTGCTTTCTGCTTCCTCCTCCCCTCTCCCCAACTTCCATTCTCCGGAGAGGAGCTTGAAATGGGCTTCATATGAACTCCATTTGAACAGCCATAATAATAATAATAATAATAATAATAATAATAATAATAATAATAATAATATTTTATTTATACCCCACCGTCCCCAGCCAGAGCTGGGCTCAGGGCGGCTAACACCTATAAAATTTCAGCAGAAACATAATAAGAAAAAAAGAAAAAGAAAAAAACAATTTAAAATACAGGTTAAAGTGCAATTTAAAATGCAGCCTCATTTTAAAAGTCAAAACCATAAGGGGAGGGAAGCATAAGGGTCAGACTGAGTCCAAACCAAAGGCCAGGTGGAACAGCTCTGTCTTGCAGGCCCTGCAGAAAGATGTCAAGTCCCGCAGGGCCCTGGTCTCTTGTGACAGAGCGTTCCACCAAGTTGGGGCCAGTACTGAAAAGGCCCTGGCCCTAGTTGAGACCAACCTAACCACCTTGTGACTTGGGACCTCCAGAATGTTGTCATTTGTGGATCTTAAGGTCCTCCATACCAGGAGAATGTCATTAGAGTGGAAATAATAAGTCCGCAGAGTAGTCCAGTTGAGGATTTTGCAGAGCATATTGGATGGTTCTTTCATTGTTGTTGTTTTTTAAGTCCTAGCCAGGGACTCTGCTGCAGCCACAAATGTGCCCCCAAACCCCGAGGGGAGCGATGCCAGGCGGAGACCGACTGCGCTTCAGAAAGCACCTGCTCTGGGGCAGAAGCAAAGTGCCCGGCACCCCTTCCGAAAGCAAACTTCACCCTCTGCGGCATGCGGTCCCGGGTGTGTCTGAACGGGGTGAGTTTTCACAGAGTTGGAGGCTATTGGCCATTGGCCGTGACGTCCAAGGGGATACCTCCAATTTCCTGGGGCACTCTGCCAAATACTGGGAGCTGAGAGCCTTCCTTCCTCTGTCTCTTTCAAGCTCTGTGTGGGTTCCCTCTGCATGCGCCACGAATTGGAGCAGTGCGATTGCGTCACCGATTCCCTGAGAGAGAGGTGCCAGCTCTGCTGCCAGCTTCCAGGTCCTAATTCATTTTTTTAAAAAAATTAAGCAAATGTATTATGGTGATTATAGTGTTGCAAAAACCAAACTCTACAAGCATCTCTTATTACAAAGAAGTTGGGGGGGGGGGGCGTTACGGCACTCATCTCGCTTTATTGGCCGAGGGAGCCGGCATACGGCTTCCGGGTCATGTGGCCAGCAGGACTAAGCCGCTTCTGGCGAACCAGAGCAGTGCACGGAAACACTGTTTACCTTCCCGCTGGAGTGGTACCTATTTATCTACTTGCACTTTGACGTGCTTTCGAACTGCTAGGTGGGCAGGAGCAGGGACTGAGCAACCCTGTCGCGGGGATTCGAACAGCCGACCTTCTCATCGGCAAGTCCTAGGCTCTGTGGTTTAACCCACAGCCCCACCAGGGTCTCCGGGGAACCCCCTAGGGAACCCCCAAAGGAAAACTGCTCAGAGCCCTGGGAGGGGTGGTGGGACGACGACGAGTAGTCAGAAGGAGCAGGAGGTGTCGGAATCTGAAGAGGCAACAGGGTTTAGTGAGCAGGAAGAGTCTGTGGCAGAGAGAAGTCCAAAATCGGAGGCTGAAGCAAGAGAGGTGGGAGGCCAAGAGGCAAAGAAGAGTCCAGCTGTAGTCACGGGTGTCTTCTCCTTCTGCTGCAACCAGCTCTTCTTCCCCCTGGACTCACAGAATCAGGAGAGGCATGAAAAGAGTGGAAGAGAAGTTAGCTTCATGCAGGCATAGTCTCAGATTGCTGGGGAAAGCCCTGGAGAGGAGGGAACTTAGGGAGCTGTGGGAAGGTGGGAGCCTTCAGTCTTGGCAACTGATCCATGGGGGCAAGACCTGCCAAAAGATGAGTTGCTGTGCTAATTAGGCCTGACACCCCTGTGCAGGTCGTGCTTTTGCTAATAAACAGTTAATTCCCACTTGCATGGTGGCTCACTCCTGACAGTTCCCCATCTCTGATTGTTGTTGTTGTTGTCGTTTAGTCGTGTCTGACTCTTCGTGACCCCCTGGACCAGAGCACGCCAGGCACTCCTGTCTTCCACTGCCTCCTGCAGTTGGGTCAAACTCATGCTGGTAGCTTCGAGAACACTGTCCCACCATCTCGTCCTCTGTCGTCCCCTTCTCCTTGTGCCCTCCATCTTTGGACGCCTTCCAACCTGAGGGGCTCATCTTCCAGCATCATAACTTTTATATGCCTGTTGTCTTTGTCCATGGAGTTTTCTTGGCAGGGATACAGGAGTGGCTTGCTGGTTCCTCCTCCAGGTGGATCACGTTTGGTCAAAACTCTCCACTATGACCTGTCCATCTTGGGTGGCCCTGCACGGCATAGATCATAGCTTCTCTGAGTTATTCAAGCCCCTTTGCCACGGCAAAGCAGTGATCCACGAAGGGGTCCCCATCTCTGATAGAACATGTAAAATCTACACAGAGGACAACTGCCCCTGCCCAGTTTTTATTGATTCAAAATATTTCCAACACGACTTCTGAGTCTATTCAGCTCTAATTTATTGAACAGCCTCCAAGGAGCTGAATGCAGGCAGGCAAGAAAAGGAAAATTGAAATTAGACTGCCCCTGAGCCTTATTGGTCTTGGCTAACTCTCTTTTCCTAAACCACTTCTGCCAGGGAGAGTCGACACGTGTGCCAGCACTGCCTCTGCCGCCTGGGGCCGTTTCTTCAACGGCTCCGAAATTCCGCTGATTCCAGGTTCGCCGTGTGGGGGCAAGGCCGGCTACTGCGACAAATTCCACATCTGCCGATTCGTCGATGAGGACGGGCCCGTTGCGCGGGTGAAAAACTTCATCCTGGACTTCATCGAGATGGAAGACGTCGCCACCTGGATGAAGGTGAGGCGCAGATTTCAGAGACCCTCCGTGGCTCAGTGAGAAGATAGCTCAGTCGGTAGAGGGTGGGACTCTGAATCTCTGGGTTGTGGGTTCGAGCCCCACGTTGGGCAAAAGATGCGTGGCAAGGGGGTGGACCAGATGTCCCTCAGGGTCCCTCGCAACTCTACAATTCTATGCAGGAAGAGTCCCAGGTTCAGTCTCCAGTTGTTGTTGTTGAGTCGTTTAGTCGTATCCGCCTCTTCGTGACTCCATGGACCAGAGCACGCCAGGCACTTCTGTCTTCCACTGCCTCCCGCAGTTTGGTCAAACTCATGCTGGTAGCTTCGAGAACACTGTCCAACCATCTCGTCCTCTGTCGTCCCCTTCTCCTTGTGCCCTCCATCTTTCCCAACATCAGGGTCTTTTCCAGAGAGTCTTCTCTTCTCATGAGTTGCCAAAGTATTGGAGCCTCAGCTTCAGGATCTGTCCTTCCAGTGAGCACTCAGGGCTGATTTCCTTAAGAATGGAAAGGTTTGATCTTCTTGCAGTCCATGGGACTCTCAAGAGTCTCCAGTATCTCCATACAATTATAGATGTGATGGCCTGGGATTTGGACTCGGATGCTGAACCCGAGGGATCCCAGCCTGCACAGGATTCCCCGCCTCTGGAACCAGCTGAGCCGGGGCTGGGGCATGAGCCTGAAGGGTCCTCACCTGTGCTGGGTCCTCAGGTGCAGGCATCAGCTGAGTCTGCTCTGGCTCCTGAGATGATGGAGGACCCATTGCCTGCAGGTGCTCCACTCTCAGCCCCGTCAGAGGAAGCTGAGGTTGCCTCTGGGTCCGGTAACCCTCCAGCCTCTCCTGAGCTGCAGAGGCTCAGGGCAGAGAGGCGGAGGGAACTAAGTTCCCGCAGGAGGAGTGCTCGCCTCCAGGCCAGGAGAGTCACCAGAGGATCAGGGCTGCCCTATGCCTCGGGGCAGATAAAAGCCGACCAGCCGCAGTCCCAAGTTACAGGAGCAACATTGTTGGTTGCTAGTTCCTGCCTGAACCCTGTCCTGCTTTCCTGCCTGAGCTCCTGACCCACCCTGGCTCCCTGCTTGCAAGCCTGTTCCTGACTTCACCCGACTCCCTGCCCTGCACCCAGCTTCAGCTACTACGGACTGCCTCCACGTTGCACCTTTGACCACGGACCCCATTTGGACCTCGCCTCTCGGGTAACCCACGGGACCAGCACAATAGAGTTGGAAGGGACTCCTAAGGGTCATCCAGCCCAACCCCCCTGCAACACGGGAGGGAGGTGACGACAAAGACCCATGCCCAGACCCATAGCAAGAAAGAAGGCTTATGAAAATCAGAGTCCCCTCCTGGTTGTGGTTCAGTGATGGAGGGCATCGTTTAGTCTTCGGATTCAATCTATCTCCAGTTAGGTGTGAGGAACCAGCCTCTGACACCCAATTTCAGATTTTCACCCTGGCTGGGAGAACACGACCGTCTGGATTTGGAAACCACGACCTACTGACTTATCAGTGCCCCCTCTCTCCACAGACACGCTGGTGGGCCATCCTTCTGATGGTTTTGACTTTGGCCGCGATGATGGCAGCAACCATCTTCCTCTTTGGGAGGACGGTCGACACAGAAATAGGTACTTTGCGGGGAGAGGAGCATTCCAGACACTTTTTAAACACACACACACACACACACACACACACACACACACCAGTGGCCTGTCTTGCAGTGTCAGAACCCTTTTGAGATCTTTACCGACCGTGGGCAAGGTAAGGCGAAGCGAGTTGCAAAATTCAGAGACGTTTTCAAACAAAGGGTGTACTTCAGTTTGGCTATTTCAAATGATAACTTTAATAATAATAATAATAATAATAATTTTTTATTTATACCCCGCCCTTCCCGGTTCAGGAAACTGGGCTCAGGGCGGCTAACAACAAATTTAAAACACTTAATTGTAGAAGCAGAATAAACTACAGTATAAAAACGTGAATAACAATAAAATTCAAAGTTCAGAAATCAATTTGGGGAAAATCCATCTAATAAGCATTAGATAGTCACCAGGGCTAGCGGGCTGAATTAGTCCTACCTGGGCCAGCGAGGAGGCCAGGGGAGAATTAGCTGTGGGGTCTCAGAGTGGGTGATCTTGATAAAATCATCATCATCATCATCATCATCATCAACATCATCATGCTGTTGCATCCAACTAAGTTCTACTCAAAGTAGAACCCATTTAAATTAATAGACCTAAGCTAGTCATATCCATGTATTTCAGTGGGGCTACTCTACATAGCAAGAGGGACGCGGGTGGAGCTGTGAGTTAAACCACAGAGCCTAGGACTTGCCGATCAGAAGGTCGGCGGTTCGAATCCCCGTGATGGGGTGAGCTCCCGTTGCTCGGTCCCTGCTCCTGCCAACCTAGCAGTTCAAAAGCACGTCAAAGTGCAAGTAGATAAATAGGTACCACTCCAGCGGGAAGGTCAACGGCATTTCTGTGCGCTGCTCTGGTTTCGCCAGAAGCGGCTTAGTCATGCTGGCCACATGACCCGGAAGCTGTACGCTCGGCCTGTAAAGCGAGATGAGCGCCGCAACCCCAGAGTCGGCCATGACTGGACCTAACGGTCAGGGGTCCCTTTACCTTACTCTGCATAGCACATGCAAAACATGGCTTGCTTTGGACGAGCACTTCTGAATTCCAAAAAATCCAAGCAGCGCACACCCCTCGCCTCTTAAGAGAGAGAAGCTGAGTGTTTTCCCCCTCATTTCCTGCAGATGAGAGAGCGACGAGGGCTTCCGATAAGAAGATTTCCCTCAGCCAGCACCCAGAGAACCAGCATGCTTTCTTCTACTGGGAACACGAGGAGATCTATATCGAATCCCTGCGGCAGGAGTACGAAACCATTATATAGAGCCCCAACTCTTTCAAAAGGCAGTCTGCAGGGCTATGTTTGAATCTCCTGAGCCTGCAGCTTCCCACAGAAGCCTAGAGTTGGAAGGGACACCGAGGGTCATCTAGTCCAACCCCGCCTGCAATGCAGAAATCTCGGCTAAAGTATCCATGACACATGGCCATCGAACCTCTGATTAAAAACCTCCAAGGAAGGAGAGTCCACCACCTCTCGTGGGGGTCCGTTTCATTGTTGGGACAGCTCATGCTGTCAGTTTTCCCTGACGTTGAGTCAGAATCTCCTTTCTTGTAACTTGAAGCCATGGGTTCGAGTCCTACCCTCCAGAGCAGGAGAAAACAAGGTTGCTCCATCTTCCATGGGGCAGCCCTTGAGATATTTGAAGATGGCTTTCATATCTCCTCTCAGCCTCCCCTTCTCCAGGCTAAGCATACCCAGATCTTTCAACCGCTCCTCATAAGGCTTAGTTTCCATACCTTTAATCATCTTGGTTGCCCTCCTCTGCACACCTTCCAGCTTGTCAACATCCTTCTTAAATTGTGGTGCCCAGAATTGGACACGGGATTCCAAGTGTGGTCTAACCAAGGAAGAATAGAGTGGGACTATGACTTCCCTTGATCTGGACACTAGACTTCTGTTGAGGCAGCCTAGAATAGCATTAGCCTTTTTTGATGTAGGCTCAAGTTAAGTCTGTGATCTACTAAAACCCCTAGATCCTTTTCACATGCACTGCTAGCATGCCAGGTGTCCCCCATCTTATATTTGCGCAGCAAGCTTAGATTTGTTCTTCCTTGTTAAGATTCCTGCTCCGTGATTGCAGTCATGGGATTGTTGTCTATCACACGAAGGTGTGTTTTGACTCCACAGAGTGGGAAGTGACGGAGACAGGATGTTTGTGTTACTGTGTTCCGTGAAGTGGGACTATTGTCCTTTGTTCTTTTTCTCTTTGCTGTCTGATGCTAGACAGAGAGGGAGCCATGTTGCAGTGCTCCGTGTGTGTTTATATGTAAATAAAGTAGATTAGCCAAAATGCTGAGCTACTGAGTTCTATTATGCAACTGCGAAATACTCTGCGGATCTGTAAGTGTGATGATGGCACAGTTGCTGTGATGTTCGGGCAGAAGAAAGCTTTTTAAGCTCCCGATCGACCAGTCGGGCATGTGTCTCTGCCAGGGTCCTAATCGAGAGTTGGGGATCCTAACATTCCTTAGTGTAGAACATTACATTTATCCCCACTGAAATTATTTTTGTTCATTGGGGTCCAGTTCTAATTGGGGTCCAGTTCTCTTATCTGTTAAGGTCACACTGAATCCAGATTCAATCTTCTCCATCCTTGTTGATAAGACTCCTGCAAAGAAATGCTACCAGCTACCAGGAAACACTTCATCGTTCCGTCACACTCTTGTGTGACCAAGAAAACAGGCTGTGGGTGTGTGGCTATGCAAATCAAGGGGCAAAATGCCCTGGGGAGCAGCAACCTTGATGCTTAGTGGATGGGGGTTTTGTGGGGTCACCACCAAATCTGTGTAGACCAGGGGTGCCCAAACTTTTTCTCAAAGAGGGCCAGATTTGATGAAGTGAACATGCGTGAGCGCCAACCAAAGTTGATGAGCTTTTTCTTACAGTTTCCCCCCAAAGTTGATGGGCTTTTTTAAAAATTTAACCCCAAAATTGTTGAGTTTTCTTTAGGATTTAACCCAAAGTTGTTGAGTTTTCTTTAGGATTTAACCTAAAGTTGTTGAGTTTTCTTTAGGATTTAACCCAAAGTTGTTGAACTTTTTTTAAGATTGAAGTTGCTGAACTTTTCTTAGGATTTTGCCCCAGGACATATACTGCCACAGGCGCCTCATTAAATCAACCAGTGGGCCAGATTACGCCCCAGAAACAGACTTTGGCCATGCCTGCTGTAGACCCGTTCCCTTTTCCCCACACAGGCAAACAACAGCCCAGAACTACTTCCATTCTCCCCTGCTCTGTGGTGCGCATTGGGTGCCACCCACCCAACTGCTGCCCATTGCCCTCACACTACTACAATTCCCAGAGTTCCCTGCAAAGAGTAAAAGCACTCTGGGAATTGTAGCTCTGTGAGGAACGGGTGTGTGTCTCCTTACGACTCTCAGCACCCTTATCAAACTACAATTCCCAAAATTCTTTGGGGGTTTAGTTTAGTTTCCCCACAGAAACTAAAGCTTAATTAACTAGGCACTGAACACAGAGCAGGTCCGCCGCTGCCCGGGTGCAGCTGAAAGTGCTTGGACTACTGCAATGCACTCTACATGGGGCTACCTTTGAAGGTGACTTGGAAACTACAACTAATCCAGAATGCGGCAGCTAGACTGGTGACTGGGAGCGGCCGCCGAGACCATATAACACCAGTCCTGAAAGATCTTCATTGGCTCCCAGTGTGTTTCTGAGCACAATTTAAAGTGTTGCTGCTGACCTTGAAAGCCCTAAAAGGCCTCAGCCCAATAATTACAGTGGAGGATCCAAAAAATTCTCTTCCTAGAGTGATAGAAAAGATTCAAGAATTTGGGGAAGTGCCAGGATTTAAATTAAATAGAAACAAGACTAAGCTATTAGTAAAAAATTATATATTCTGGACAGTCTTTTCTATCCACGGTCAATGTTTGCCTCTTTATATTTAACATAAATAAAAATATTCAAAATATAACAGGAATTGGGTTCATGTATCCATTTCTCAGCACAATTCAAAGTGTTGGTGCTGACCTTTAAAGCCCTAAACGGCCCAGAAACCCTGAAGGAGCGTCTCCACCCCCATCGTCTAGCCCAGACACTGAGGTCCAGCTCCAAGGGCCTTCTGGTGGTTCCCTCCCTGCGAGAAGTGAGATTACAGGGAACCAGGCAGAGGGCCTTCTCGGTGGTGGCGCCCGCCCTGTGGAATGCCCTCCCATCAGATGTCAAGGAAACAAACAACTATCTGACTTTTAGAAGACATCTGAAGGCCTGTTTAGGGAAGTTTTAAATGTTTGAGGTTTTATTGTGTTTTTCATATTCTTTTGTTAGCTGCCCAGAGTGACTGGGGAAACCCAGCCAGATAGGCAGGGTATAAATAATAATTCTTATTCTTATTATAAAGTCTTTTATTGCAGCCCTTGAGAAACAGGGGCCAGACTGAACACCTCCCCATTAAAGGCGGCAAGAGGGGGCCTTATCAGAGAGGCTTCATTTGATGAGATCCTTCATGTACTTCCATCCATTCTGGGTATATTCACTGGCCCTGGTGGGGGCTACGGAGAGAGCGCCAATTGTCGTCCGAACCCCTGCAGAAAAACAACAACAAGAAGAGCAACAAGAAAATTAAAGCAAGAAACTGCAACAGAAAGTTGCAGCATGGACTGATATCCCTGCTCAGAATTCCATTCCCCCGCTGCCAGTCAAGTTAGCAATCTGCAGCCACTGAGCATGCTCAGTCCCCATCAAACGGTCTGTGTATCTTTTCCACTGTTTTTTTGAAGGGGTTTTATGGCAGCCGCGCAAAATTTGGCCACCCTTACCGTGATCTCTGTACAGTCATACCTCTTGTTACGTTCGGTTCAGATTACGCCTGCGGCAAACTGGAAGTACCGGAAAGGGTTACTTCCGGATTTCGCCGCTCACACAGACGCTCAAAATGACATCACGTGCATGCGCAGAAGCGGCGAATTGTAACCCGCGCACATGCAGACGTGGGGTGCATTCTGCTCATGTTGCGAACGGGGCTCCGGAACAGATGTCATTCGCAACCAGAGGTACCACTGTATGCTTAACCTCTATCAGGGATTTTAAGCATTGGGGTTCAGACCCACTTGGAATTTTCTGTATAACAGGGGTGATCCCGCAGACTGCCTTGCCAGAGTGGTGCATGCTCTAGTTATCTCCCGCTTGGACTACTGCAATGCGCTCTACGTGGGGCTACCTTTGAAGGTGACCCGGAAACTGCAACCAATCCAGAATGTGGCAGCTAGACTGGGGACTGGGAGCGGCCACCGAGACCACATAACACCGGTCCTGAGAGATCTGCACTGGCTCCCAGTACATTTCTGAGCACAGTTCAAAGTGTTGGTGCTGACCTTTAAAGCCTTAAACGGCCCGGGGTACCTGAAGAAGCGTCTCCACCCCCATCGTTCAGCCCGGACACTGAGGTCCAGCGCCAAGGGCCTTCTGGCGGTTCCCTCATTGCGAGAAGCAAAGCTACAGGGAACCAGGCAGAGGGCCTTCTTGGTGGTGGCGCCCGCCCTGTGGAACGCCCTCCCATCAGATGTCAAAGCGATAAACAACTACCTGACATTCAGAAGACATCTTAAGGCAGCCCTATTCAGGGAAGTTTTTAATGTGTGACCTTTTAGTGTATTTTTTGGTCTCTGTGGAAGCTGCCCAGAGTGGCTGGGGAAACCCAGCCAGATGGGCGGGGTACAAATAATAAATTATTATTATTATAAAGACTGAGCGTATATTCTCATAAAAACGACATCGTAGCAAGACATGAGAGATGGTTTCCACTTCTATCAGGCCGCAGGGGCAGACTCGCTCAGCGTACGGTTTACCCACATATTTGCCCGGGGGGCAGAAGATAATAGGAATTGGCATGCGTCAGGGGTTGAATTAAAAAGCCGTACCTGAGTTCCAGTAGCTGCAGAGAGAGAATTCAGTCTTTGGGACAGCAGGAAGCTGTGGGAATGAAGAACACAAGCAAGGCATATAAAAAAGGCTGGTGGTGCCTTCGAAAACAGCTTGCATTGCAAAAGGTTCTGGGTTCAAGACCTAGGAATCTCTGTTTAGAGCAGGTGTAGGGAACCTGTCAGCCCTCAATGCCACTGGATTCCACCAGCCCCAAAGAGCATTCGTGCAATGGTCAGGGAGGCAGGAGGCTGCCTGGAGCTCTTCAGATGAAGGGCAATGTATAAATTTAATGAATAATAATAATAATAATTTATTATTTATACTGGTTTCCCCAGCCACTCGGGGCAGCTTCCAACAAAACACTAAAATACAATAACCTATTAAACATTAAAAGCTTCCCTAAACAATAATAATAATTTATTATTTGAATAATACACACACACACAATTTATATATGAATAAAATAAATACAATTTTATAACCGACTTCCTTCAGTAAGGTTTTCTTTTGAAACGTTTAAGATCTTTTTAAAATATATATATATATTATCTTTGCTGGGTTAAATGCACATTCTGCAGCTAGACTCCTCTGTCATGCTTCCTTTTGAAATCTTTAAGAGTATTTTAGTTTTCTGTCGATTTCTTTGAATACCTTTCGGGCTGCTCGTTCTTCCTCCGCCGCTGCCGCCACCACCAGGTTTGTGGTGGGGTGAACCAGCTTATACTTGAGTCAATATGTTTTCCAGTTTTTTTTGTGCTAAAATTAGGTGCCTCCACTTATATTCGGGTCGGCTTATACTCGAGTATATACGGTGTGTATACACACACACACATATATATATATATATATACACTCACACAAACAAGTTTGCCATCATTACATAGGTTTAGGTGCCAGGAAAAAACATTCCTTCTTTCATAAAATCTTTGGATTTCAATTATCAATGGGCTTATTGCATGGGTGGGGTGTTTCAATCGAGATTTATTTATTTATTTTAAGAGAACTGCCTTTTGGATTTATTTATTATTTAAAATGCTAGTTCTAAGGTGTGCATGCATCGGCTTTTTGCTTAAATTATCTGTAAGCCGGTTTGAGTTGCTGTGGCAAAAAAACAGAGCGAGCAGATGCTAAAATTTAATAAATAATAATAATACTCAAGACGTCTAGAAAACCATAGTGCAGCCAAATGCTCCCATGAGCTCTTACCTTCCAGCCAAAATATTTCGCCCATTCTTCCACAGCTGGGGGCAGCGCTTCTTGGGCTTTACGGAGGGCTTGGGCTCCCTCCTCGCCCCCACTCAGCAAACCTTGGCTGTAAACCACGTAGATGGCTCCCCCTGCCAGACCACCTTTGACCAGGAACCTGAGCAGAAAAATCATAGGATCACAGAATTGTAGTACAGTGGTACCTTGGGTTACAGACGCTTCAGGTGACAGACTCCGCTAACCCAGAAATAGTACCTCGGGTTAAGAACTTTGCTTCAGGATGAGGACAGAATTCACGCAGCAGCGGGAGGCCCCATTAGCTAAAGTGGTGCTTCAGGGTAAGAACAGTTTCAGGTTAAGAACGGACCTCCAGAACGAATTGAGTTCTTAACCTGAGGTACCACTGTAAGAATAATAATAATACAGTGGTGCCCCGCAAGACGAATGCCTCGCAAGACGGAAAACCCGCTAGACGAAAGGGTTTTCCGTTTTTGAGTTGCTTCGCAGGACGAATTTCCCTATGGGCTTGCTTCGCAAGACGAAAATGTCTTGCGAGTCTTGAGATTTTTTTTCCCGCTCCCCCCCCTTTTCTAAGCCGCTAAGCCGCTAATAGCCTTTTAGCAGCTAAGCCGATAAGCCTTTAATAGCCGCTAAACCGCTAATAGCGCTAATCCGCTAATAGGGTTGCTTCGCAAGACGAAAAAACCGCTAGACGAAGAGACTCGCGGAACGGATTAATTTCGTCTTGCGAGGCACCACTGTAATATGTTTTATTTGTATCCCTGTTCCACAGGGCGGGCGCCACTACCAAGAAGGCCCTCTGCCTGGTTCCCTGTTAGGTGGCTTCTTGCAATGAGGGAACCACCAGAAGGCCCTCGGCGCTGGATCTCAGTTTCCGGGCTGAACGATGGGGGTGCAGATGATCCTTCAGATATACTGGACCGAGGCCGCTTAGGGCTTTCAAGGTCAGCACCAACACTTTGAATTGTGCTCGGAAATGTACTGGGAGCCAATGTAGGTCTTTCAAGACCGGTGTTATGTGGTCCCGGCGGCCACTCCCAGTCCCCAGTCTGGCTGTCGCATTCTGGATTAATTGCAGTTTACAGGTCACCTTCAAAGGTAGCCCCACATAGAGCACGTTGCAGTAGTCCAAGCGAGAGATAACCAGAGCATGCACCACTCTGGGTCGACAGTCTGCGGGCAGGAAGGGTCTCAGCCTGCGTACCAGATGGAGCTGGTAGACAGCTGCCCTGGACACAGATTTGACCTGCGCCTCCATGGACAGCTGTGAGTCCAAAATGACTCCCAGGCTGCGTACCTGGTCCTTCGGGGGCACAGTTACCCCAGTTGGTATTTGCCAGTTACAGTTAGTTTTTGCCAGTGAAATGGAAGGGACTGTTTGGATCCAACAGATGATGGTGGAAAGAGCTTGCAGAGACATATTTTGCAAAATGTGATCCCTTTTGTTATCAGGGGGAGAGGTGATGAAATAAATATTATGACAGTGAGATCAGCACCAACATTATTAACCCAAGAAAAATCAGAGTCATCTTTATTTGCATCAGCCCCTAGCCATAGCAACCAAAGAAGGAATAAAAGCTGTTTTAATATTTCTGGGCACCAGCATATGCACAGGGAGGAGGTTTTTATTTCATTTTAAAATGCCCATTTCAGCTCAGAACATGCCAAAATAAAATGGGGCTGGAACAGAAGGGTTGACCCTTTTCTTTTTTTGGCTGCTGGGATTTGCAAAAAGCTCCAAAAGAACCAACAGGCATTTCCCACCTGGTCATCCTTGCTCCCCATTGAACATAAGGAGAAAAAGAAATTAAAACAGAAAGGAATCCAAGGAAGCCCGCCCGCCCGACTCACTTGACAAGGGGGAAGATGCGGGGAGCCATGACGGGGCGAGGTCTCCGCGCGCGGCGCAAGGGCAGCTCGGCGCCCGCCCGCGCCGTTTCCAGAGAACCCAGCCAGCCAGAGAGCGAGCGACGCCTCTCGCGGGACTTTTCGGGAATTGTAGTCTGGAGGCGGGCGAGTCACATGCCCTCCCACTGAACGTCCGCTCTAGCCTTGCGACTCGTTGGTTGCACCTCCAACTCAAGGTTTTTCTTCTGGCTTAAAGGGAGAGAAAGGCGCTTGGTGTTTTGTATTTTTTTTAAAAAAACAGGACATTTATTAGGGAGTAAGTCCCAAACATAAGCATTTGCCCGTTTTTTATTTTGCAGATTTAGGGGGTTGGGGGTTGGGGGGTGCGGATCATGCTGCAACATTTTGTTGCAGTTCCCGCTCATTGGGAAAAGTCCCTACCAGAGAAGAATGGAAAATCAATTTGATGGACTATGCCGAAATGGCCCAAAATGACCGGAAGAATCAGAAATCAGGAAGACCAAAATTTTAATAAGGAATGGGGGAAATTTATAACTTGTCTTAAAAACCATTGCAAACAGTTAAAAACTGTTAGCAGGATTGGAATATCCCTTGTGATTTTGGATCATCATAAAAGATGAAGGAGGAAATTATTAACGATAAGACCCACAAAGGGGAAGAGGGAAGTCTAGGAGATTCTTCGGAATCTTCTTTTCATGTTGAATGTTCGATGTGCGACTGTTAAATTTTAATTTGAAAAAATAAATAAATAAATTATATATAAGGGATGTGGGTGGCGCTGTGGTCTAAACCACTGAGCCTCTTGGGCTTGCCGATCAGAAGGTTGGCGGTTCGAATCCCCGCAACGGGGTGAGCTCCCGTTGCTTGGTCCCTGCTCCTGCCAACCTAGCAGTTCGAAAGCACACCAAAAAGTGCAAGTAGATAAATAGGTACCGCTCCAGCGGGAAGGTAAATGGCGTTTCCTTGCGTTGCTCTGGTTCTCCAGAAGTGGCTTAGTCCTGCTGGCCACATACCCGGAAGCTGTACGCCGGCTCCGTCGGCCAGTAAAGTGAGATGAGCGCTGCAACCCCAGAGTCTGCCGCGATTGGACCTAATGGTCAGGGGTCCCTTTACCTTTACCTATATATAGTGGTACCTCGTGTTACATATGCTTCAGGTTACAGACGCTTCTGGTTACAGACTCTGCTAACCCAGAAATATTACCTTGGGTTAAGAACTTTGCTTCAGGATGAGAACAGAAATCGTGCTCTAGCAGCGCAACGGCAGCAGGAGGTCCCATTAGCTAAAGTGGTGCTTCAGGTTAAGAACAGTTTCAGGTTAAGAACAGACCTCCGGAACGAATTAAGTTCTTAACCTGAGGCACCACTGTATATAAAAGAAAAAGCCACTTACAAGATGAGAACAATCTGAACGGGCTTGTGTTTCAGGGAAGGTCCAAAGCAGGCATCCCCAACCTTCGGCCCTCCAGATGTTTTGGACTACAATTCCCAGCATCCCTGACCAATGGTCCTGTTAGCTAGGGATCATGGGAGTTGTAGGCCAAAACATCTGGAGGGTCGCAGGTTGGGGATGCCTGGTCCAAGGTGACGTTGCATCCCCAAATGATCATGTTGTTGGGTCTCTGGGGTGGTTTGTCCCAGGGGGGGCAGAGAGGCAAGCAGGGGGCCGATTCAAAGGCTGAGCCTGAGAGATGGATGGAGAGGCCCCCATCCCACAATTTTAACAAGTCCCCCCTCTTTTCCATATAAGATCACTTCTGCCACCACCATCACATGGTGCCAGAATCCGGCCCGATTCACATGCAGCACAGCACAGAGACAAAAATCTCCGTGGAAGGAGCTCCTCCAACGCTCTTCTAGAAGTTTCCACTGGGAGGCCGGGATAGCGCACGGCTGCCGCCACCTTGTGGCTGTCAGGAATAGCAGCTAGAGCAATATCTTTAAAACTGGATTTTTAAAAAAAATACATTTCACACACCTGACATGTACATTCCTAACTCTTGGTTTGCAGCCCACGAGTTTATTATGATTTCAAATTAGCACATTTGAAAGGAAGGCAGGTTCCTTCTTGGTCCTTTCCTCTGCACTTAAACAGCCATTTTATAGGATCAGCTGCGATTATTTTTAGACGCCTTGGCAGCCCTCGTTTTATTAGGGAACATAACCGTTTCCTGGCATATTGAGAAGAATTGGAATGTTGGGATATGCAAATTGCAATTCATTGGCACCCACGAATCAAATTCCAACGAAGACCGCAATCCCATCGGGCACAATAGCTAAGCGTGCTCATTGTATTAATTGTCTTATAATAATTTTGCCCTGGTTTTCTAGCAAAAGGGGGGGAGGAGACTCTCAGAGTGGCTTGCAAAGGTCAGTGGCAAGGCAGCTCCTGCAGTCTAAAAGGCTTGTGGTCTTTTTTCTTTCTTTAAAGACACAACAGACAAGGAAAATGAGAGGAGGAGGGAGGAGGAAAATGCAAACACAAGGCATCAGTGCTTAAACTTTTGCAGGGGTCAGCAAACTTTTTCAGCAGGGGGCCGGTCCGCTGTCCCTTCTGGGGGGACGGACAATCCTGGGAACGGTTTTGACTGGCCAGCTAAACCAGGTGAGGGGAGCCAATGGGTCTCAAGCCCTCAGTGAGTTAGGGGCTTCCCCTGCATGTGAAGACAGGCTCTGGTGGATGGAATGGACGAGACCCAGAATGGGTCCAATGGTCAAGAAGGCGGTTTCTGCCGGTGCTGCAGAGGGAAGCGATGGGCAGTTGGGGCTCATCCACCTGGGAAGGGAGCTGTGATAGGAATTTTGAGGTCTTAGATATATGGCAATGTTCATAAGTTACCAACCAAGCACGTACATAGATCAGCACAGGAAGACCGATCTGAAGCCATTTTGATTCCTAAACTGAGTAAATGTTTTCTCTGCATGCTCAAAGTGGAAAAGCCTCCCCATTGTCTTTTCCTTCACAAATCCTGTCTAAGGGTATATCTGTGTTTGAATAGGGTGTGAGCCTGTGACCTGGCCCAGGAACTAAGTATTTATCATTACAAAAGACTGGCCAGGCTACCCAGGCAATCCAATCAAGTAACCTGCCAGACAGGAGAAACACAATATTCAAATTTCTGTTTTAGATCGCCTTTTCTGTGATGTATCTGAGGGGTGGTCTTAGGTTACACCCCTTCTGTGATGTATGTATGATGTTTCTGGGGGTGGTCTTGATCTACAGGGTGGCAATTTCAAAAGTCTTTATAAGGCCTTGCATGCCATTTTTCTGGGTCCTCCTCCTTCTCCTGCAGGTGAGGGGAGCACCCTGTTGCAACAGATCAATAAAGATCAAGCTTACTAGCTGCTTTGCTTCTCAATACTCTCTGGTTGGCCTCTGTTATTCTCTCCTACCAATAGGGAACCTATGTAAGGACTCTATATGGGCTCTTGGATACCCCATAAGGGGAAAGGGCAATTTTTGTTTACAACAATATCTTCGGGAGAAGAAAAGACTCAGGAGTAAACCTTACACAAATCTACAACGGAGTCCCTAAGGCGCTTTGCACTCCTCCTTCCAGCCAAGCTGGTGCCCAACGTCTTGTTCTGTTTTCCTTTGGACCACATCAGCAAAGCCGAGAGGGGGGTCTTGTTGTCTGGGCAGCTCCAGACCTCCAGACACCTGGCCAAGGTCTGTGCCCCAGGGAGGTCACTACAGTCATAAGGTAAAGCTAAAGGGACACCTGACCATTAGGTCCAGTCGTGACCGACTCTGGGGTTGCGGTCCTCATCTCACTTTATTGGCCAAGGGAGCCGGCGTACAGCTTCGAGGTCATGTGGGCAGCAGGACTAAGCCGCTTCTGGCAAACGAGAGCAGCACACAGAAATGCCGTTTACCTTCCCGCCGGAGCGGTACCTATTTATCTACTTGCACTTTGGCGTGCTTTCGAACTGCTAGGTTGGCAGGAGCAGGGACCGAGCAACGGGAACTCACCCCGTCACGGGGATTCGAACCGCCAACCTTCTGATCAGCAAGTCCTAGGCTCTGTGGTTTAACCCATAGCGCCACCCGCGTCCCTCACTACAGTCATACCTCGGGTTAAATATGCTTCGAGTTGAGCGCATTCAAGTTGCGCTCCTCGGCAACGGAGCACATTACTTCCGGGTTTCGCCACTTGCACATGCGCAGACGCTCAAAATGACGTCACGCGCAGACGCGCAGACGCTAGTTACGTTTACCTCTAGATGCGAACGGGGCTCCGGAACGGATCCCGTTCGTATCTAGAGGTACCACTGTAATGCTTCACTGCCAAAGGCACCCTCCATTGTCCCTCAAGACAGATGGGCGTCTGATGGATTTTCTGTAGGGCACCCAATGTAGGGTGATTGTACATGCTCAAAACATCCCTTGTGGGTGAATGGTTGTGTTTCGCCTCTGCGCGTTCTCCGTCGGCTTTGCGTATTTAAATCTGCATCAGACCACAAATCCTCACGAAAATCCATCAGGGTGCGACTTTCAGCTGAGAAAGTACACAGAGGCGCTGAGGTCCTTAATTTTACATTTACCCCCCAAACACACCACCTCCACCCTGAGTTATTCCCTGCCCCAGGGCAACTCTGATCAGTGGACTCGGGTTCTAGTAAACACACACAAAAACATACTGGATCCTGCAAGCCTTTGAAGTCTGTAAACCCTGGCATGTAGAGCCTCCAGGTACAGAGGCACTCTACCATAGGATGCCAGGAGCAGCAACGACGGAGGCCTCTCGTGCCCTGTTTGTGGCCTTCCTGGAGGTACCCGGTCACTGTCGAAAATGCGGTGCTGGGTTAAATGGAACAGATCCATTTATTGTGGTTCTCAGTTTCCATAACATCCTTTTGGTATGCTTTCTTCACTGAAATTTGCATTTTAACGCACACTTTCTCCTCTGTGCAATTTTGCACACATTATTTGGCTGGAAAATTTAGCATTGAATTACTCAGATAATGTGCAGATTTTCAAAGGATGGCTGCATTTCGGTTCTTGCGGGGTTTCCGAAACTGCAAACTGAATTTAACCCCCCTCTCTGCACACCTTTTCTTTGAACTCTTCTAAGGGGAAATCAAGAAGATCAAACCTCTCCATTCTGAAGGAAATCAGCCCTGAGTGCTCACTGAAAGGACAGATCCTGAAGCTG